TTAACAATCTTTTAAGAGAATTACTAAAACAATTAATAGTAGATTTTATAGATATAGCTTGCAATAATAATCTATTTATAAAATACTATTAAAAAGTAAAAAATAATCAGATGATAGCAATAAGACTATATTATATTTTCATTAATAATAAATATACACATCTATACAAAAACTCAGAAACACTCTTTGAAAACTCTAATCATCAAATAGTCTTATTTTAGCTTGAATATAATACTTTAATAGTTAAACTAACAATTCGAAAAATTAATCTTCAAGCTTTTCATAACTCAAAAATTAAGAAAGAAGTTGAAGACAAACTAAAAAGTATATCAAATACAGTATTTTGAACTATCATAAAATTTGTATTTAGTTAATTATATAAGCTTACAGACCTCTACTATTACTAGTATTACATATAAAGAAAATAAAAAAAAAATTATAGAACTAAAAAACAGACAGACAAAAAATCTAATTTTAGTAGATCTAAATATTACTATCACTTATCTAAATTCTAAACTACAAGAAAAAATAATAACTTAAGTACTCTCTTGGTAAATCAAATTAAAGATAAGATGAATTAAAAAGAATAAAAAATTAATAAAATATTTTTTTAACAGATATAAATTTAGATATTCTTATAATATAACTACTAAAATAAAAGACCTGTTTGCTTTCAAAGTTAAAAATCTTTATAAAATTCTAAATTTTATAAGAAATCAATATGAATCCTTATTCAAAAAAAATTAATAGATTTAAATATTATAGAAAATATTACTAATAATTTGCTTAAAGTTTTGTAATTCTATAATAAAATACTTGCAAAAGAGATCACTTTAGAAAAAATAGAAAAGATAATAAATAGTTTATCTAGCAATAAATCATCTAATCAAAATAGTCTAATATAAAAATTCTATAAAACTTTTAAAGATAAAATTACTACAATTCTGAAAAATATTTTTAATATTACTTTCACTATAGAATTAGTTTCTAGATCTTGGTTCAAAAGTTTAATTATACTAATACTCAAAAAAACAGAAGCTATAGAAAGCTTAGACAATTGAAAACATATAATATTAGTTAATTCTAATATTAAATTTTTATAAAAATTCTTTTGATAAGTAATAGTCAAATAAATTTATACTAGTATAATATCATAACCTATTAGCATAATGATATTCTGATATGAGCCTGATTTTAAACAGATATTTGGCTTGAATAGGATACCTTTTAGTAACAAATCAAATTTAAAAAAATTAATAGAGCTATTAGCATACTGATAGAGCTATCAGCATATCGATAAGACTATTATTTAAATATCAGTTTATCATGATATTTTTATAATAGCTATATCAGTATGCTGATAGCTTTATAGATTTTTTTAAATCTGATTTGTTACTGAAAGGTATTCTATTCGAGCCAAATATCTGTTTAAAATCAGACTCATATTGAAATATTGATATGCTAATAGGTAACTAGTATAAATTTATTTGACCAGTAAAGATTAAGTACTATTTGTACAGATATTATTAGTAACTACTAGCAGAAGTTTATTTCTAGTAAATTAATCTTTGACTTTGCTCTTGATATAATTACAACAATGAAAAATCTTGCTAATTCAAATAGATATATCTAGCTCTTATTATTAGATCAAAAAGATATTTGATAGAATAAACTATAATTATTTATAACTAGTATTAAAGAAAATAAAATTTATAAAAACTTTTATAAATATAATCAAAAATCTTTTTGATAATCAGATTGTATACATATATAACTCAAGTAAACAATTTACTCTATTTGATATAAAGAGTGGTGTAAGACAAGATAATTGCCTTTTACTATTTCTCTATATTTTAAATTTTAAATATCTACTAAAAGCTATAAAGAAGAAGATGTCTAATATAACAATAGAATATTTTAGCTTTAAAGCTATAGCTTAAACAGATAACTTAATAGTAGATTTAAACTTATATATGATTGGAATATTTTGATGTAACTGCTAAAAAGCTACAAAGTAAACTTCAATATTTTAATAAACAAATCAATATCTATATTAGTGCTTCTTATAAATAATATAGCAATATTAAACTTACTCAGGAAGAAAGAGTTCTCAAAAATAATATAATTAAAATTCTTGAGTTTAAAATCAATAATAAAAGTCTTCTAGAAAAAACTGTATAGCAAAATTTGATACAAAACATTAAGAAAATAGCTAATTCAATAATAATATTTTACTTAAAAGTAGAATTCTTGTAGCCAAATCTCTATTGTTGTTCAGAATTTAGTATGCAGTAACCATTTACTTCTATCAAAAAAACAATTATTTGAAATTAATATGATAGCCTCAACTTGAATTAAAAACAAATTAAAAATGCTACCAAGATATGCTATCTTTCAACAATCTCAAGAATTAAATGATCTAAAGATCTTAGTACTTGCTGATAAAATTGATACAAGACTAGTATTAATTTAGATTGAACTACTTACAAGCTCAACCTATAGGCTGTAATAGAAAGAAACAGAATTGAAACTAGGCTCTCTACTAAATACAAAAAAACTGTTTTAGCTATACTTACTAAATCAAAGATTAGACTCAAAGCCTGGTTATATAAATGGAAACTCTACCTTAAGGCTTGGAAAAGGCTACAAAAGAAGGTTCTAGAATAAGTTAAAAATTAGCTATAAAATATAGACTCTTTGGAAATTATTAGAGTTTCAATCTATAATCTATTTATCTATTTATTCATCAGATATCTATATTCAAATTTATCTGAATATCTATTTACTATTAATATCTAGATAATTATCTGAATATCTGTTAGATTATCTGGATATCAATAGTAAATGAATATCTAGATAAATTTGGATATAGATAAATAGATAACAGATTTATCTGAATTGAAACTCTACAAATTATAAATAAAAAAAGAAGTGACTTCACTATATCACAGACAACTGAATTCTTAAAGCAATTCTCTATCAAACAAACTTTATCCTAAACAAATATATTTAGTAACAATACAAATATAGAAAATTGGACCTAGTCCAAACTTGAAAGGATTGCTAACCAAAAGAAAGTTATCTTCTGACATCTAATTCACAACTCCTTACCTATAGGAAAAAGGTTAGCATACGTTGCATCAGAGCAAGACATTAACTGCCTCTGGTGTTCAGAAGAACAAATATTGTCACACTTTGCACTAGAGTGCAGAATCTGTAGAAGAATATGGGCTATTGCATATGAACTTTTCAAAATCTCATTAGATAACTATCACACCACACTTGAGGAAATAATCACAGCAAACTATGTAAAATTATCGCTATGTCATAATATAGATACATATGAATGTGATATATAAAATCTGGTGTTGCTTTACCAACGTAAAGTAGGGAATCAATTATATGAACCATTACTTCCCACGCTTTGGAGGGATCAAATTCTAAGAGAATTGCATACATTACGGAGAAGTTCCTTTAAAAAAAGGGGAAAAGGCTTCTTAAAACAAATTTATGATACACACAAGTAACATCATAATTAGTCATCAATAACAATACCACTAAAATGACCTTGATTCTCTGTATATAGCTTAAAACAATTGTACAGTACCTATATGATGTAATATATAATAAAGTCTAATAAATAGCGTCTCCGATGTATTGACACGGAGAAAAAAAATAAAAATAAAAAATAAAAAATTTATTTTATCTCATTTTTAATCCACAAATAAGCTAGTATATTTTCAAGAAATTAGGCTTTTCAAAATATGGTCCACAAATTTATCATATCATGACATAAAAAACGTTATTTAATAATTAACAAGGTTCAAAGATATATTATAGGGAGCTTTTTAAGTAATATGTAGTTTGGTAAGTACCTCTTAAATGTCTACTAAGTTAATTACATAGTTTGCCATAGCGATCAGAATATCTGCACTAGTGATGGGCAAATCGCAGTTTTCCCAAATATCCCGCGTGGGATAGAGGTTACCTTGTTGAATTCTTAAAAATTTTGTTAATGCGGGCCGGCTGGCCTGAACTAGGGAACATATTAAAATCACGCGCATTTTGTACGCGTGATCCGCGCGTGATCCCGCCGGATCCTACGCATGCCCATCACTAATCTGTACTGTATTATTTTTCTCTATCTGCTATACTATTTTGTTGACTTATTCTAATACTGTATGTAACTTGTTACTTGCACTGACGGTCTAAGTTTATTATATATTAAACAAGAAATTAATTGTAGCACACACAATGTAACGAATTCGATGACAAAGAAATATTGATACATACTATATCGTAAGCTTTTCTGGAGAAAACAATAGTTAATCAAAAATATTGTTAAATATTGAATTTGTTACACATAATTTTCGGCTGAACCATATCCTTTATTTAGTATTATAATATATATCTAAGATTTTTTAATATAATTGACTAGTGATGGGTAGTGATGGTCAAATTGCGGTTTTCCCAAATATCCCGTGGAATTCTTAAAACTTTGTTAATGCGGGCCAGCTGACCTGAATTAGGGAACATATTAAAAATCACGTGCGGGATCCAAAAAATCATGCGCATTTTGCGCGCGTGATCCCGCGCGGATCCTACACTAGTGTTATGATTGGTTGGGAGAGCAATACGCATGCATGCGCAGTTTAGCTCCAATCGCAACTTGTATAATATAGTTTAAGATAGCAATAACGAAGTCAAATACATAATGATGCATAAAATGATGTAACGATAATTTTCATATAAAAGTATTATTCAAATAAAGCATTATACAGAGCTTTTTGGTATTGAGAAAGTATTGTGTTAAACGAAAGTGTATTATTTATGTTTGAAATAGTAGTGAACGACAAGGTGCTAATAAAGAAACGTGTTGTATATATTAATACTGTCAAACAACCTAAAGCTAGATATCTATAACTATGGTTATAGACTAACTTCTTGACAATTAGTATTAAGTTTTTTTCGTTGCATAGAATATATATTTTCAGTATTCTTCAGAGTAGTGATAAAGGTAATAGAAGAATGAAAATAGCAGAAGTAGTGGCCTGAAAATATTTTTTAACAAATTCTTCTGGATTCTTGCCACTATCGTTGAGATCAAATAAAGGAAATTCGCCGATGATATCATGGAATACTTGAATCATACGATCAGTATGTTTAGTTATTTTCCCAAAATGATATAAAATATTTTTCATTTGAATTTCCTTTAGCAGTTAAACCATTCGGGTCACCATCTGGATAATTATCACGC